CAACAGACACCCTGTGAGGTGGGTGGGGCTGAGAGAGCTCTCTCGAGGACTGCTCTGACAGAAACAGGTTAAAACCGCAGTGTAGCCCGGTGCCTGTTTACTCAAATGAATAGGCATTTACGCTTTATTCAATGGAGCTGGCTTACTCCCAGCTAAGTGTATGTGGGATGGCAGCCTTCAGTTGATGAACTGGTTCAGTCAGCTGCAGTGTTGGCCCCGAGAAACCAGGCACCAGACTCTTCAAAGCTTGGAAGCGGCTTATGAAAACTGCCAGTGGTGAGCGCCCTCTTCAAAGGCACTGTCTCCCGCGTGAGCAAAGAGGAGCCTTTCCAAGAGGCAAACTCGAGGAGAGAAGCTAATGAGGAGCCCCTCTCCCTGGGGAAGATCAAGGAGACCGCCCGTGGGAGGACGGGGGTGTTCAGCCTCTCCTCCCACGCATCTCCCATGCTCCTCTGAAGCAGCAAAAGGGAAGCAGGCGGGATCCGCATCTGGCCGTGTTTTCTTGCCCACACCTCGGGAAGGGGGCCTTGAAACCCCTGCATCATCCAGGGGCAGACTGGGGTGTTAAGCAGCCATGGGGCAAGCTGTGCCAAGCGGCCCCTGCTGGGCTCCTGCCCTGGGCCACGGCGGCCACGGCGAGGGGTGTCGGGGTCCGTTGAGTCTATGCTGGTTGTCGTCACCGTGGCGGGGGCAGGGGTCACTTGGCTCATCGGTCTCCTGGCTGCCAGCGGCTCTCCAGAAACCTTCCCGGTAAGTTTGGGCCCCGATCTGTTCCCGGCCTCGTTTTTTTTAAGAAACCTTTTCATTCTGTACTCAAGCACGAGTCTGACTGAAGCGGTTTTCGTCCAACCACCGCGCGAGGCTTAACTGAGTGACGGCCTGCTTAAGGGTTGCCAACTTTGGGTTAGGAAATTGCCGGAGATTTTGGGGGTGGGCCCCGGGGGAGGGTTGGGGCTTGGGACGGGGGGGGGCGGGCCTCAGTGGGGCAGACTGCCACAGAGTCCCCTCTTCAAAGCAGCCATCTCCTCCAGGGGAACTGATCTCTGTTGCTGGCGGTCAGCTGTAATTCCTGGACATCTCCAGCTCCAGCCCCCAGGTTGGCAACCCCAAGTCTTACCTCTGTGTCTGATTTGCCGAGTCTGGGATGGAAGCATCCGAAGAGTGCACAGGTGGTTACTTAGGACACCCTCATTGCCCTTGGGTGACCTTGCTTTCCTTTTGTTTAATGTGCCGCCAAGCACGGGGGGGGGGGCAGGCAGAAGTAGCATTTCCATTTACCTGGACCAGAGTCCCTGGCCACAACTCTCTGTGTGTGTCTGTGTGTGTTGTTTTTGGTTGGGGTGTTTTTGGAAGAAGGCTTGAACTCGGGCACCACTTCCTGTTAAATTGAGCGCACGTCTCTCTTAACTGTGGTCTTATATCCGTGTATCTCTTTGCTTTGCGTTTAAAAAAAACGTGTAACTCCAGCTCTGCTCATTCCTATTTTATTTAATTCATTTATTGACATATGGCCCTGCCTTTCTCGCCCGTGGGGACCCAAATGGGCTTACGTCATTGACCTCTCGTCTCTTTTATCCTCACAGCAACCCTGTGAGGTAAATATGTGAGGTCTGTATGTGAGACGGGCCCAAAGTCATGCAGCAGGCTTTCACAACAGTCACTCCCTCCCTCCCCTCTGTGTGTGTGTGTGTGTATATGTATGTGTATATATATATGTATGTGTATATATGTGTGTGTGTGCCTGTTACTAGTTTTACTTCCTCACTGATGTGGCTTGCATGCTAGACAGGCATACCGATAACACCAGTCCCGTCACTCTTTAAAAAGGGTGAATATTAGGAGGATGACTGCTGGTAAAATACACCGCTGTTATTTTTAGCCTCTGAAGTATATCCAGAGGTCGTGGAATTAGGGCCTGGATTGAGCCTCAGTCCCCTGCTAAGCCTGTTGCTTTAATTTCTATAGTAAATAGCCTCTATAGTTGAATCTTTGGTCCTGTTTCTCAGGAGGCTTCAGGACTCTGCTGGTGCTGTAGCCAGTTTGGCGTCGTGGTTAAGAGTGGCAGACTCTTAATCTGGAGAACCAGGTTTGATTCCCCCCTCCTCCACATGCAGCTGCTGGTGTGACCTTGGGCCAGCCACACGTTCTTTCAGAGCTGTTCTCTCAAGGGCAGTTCTTGAGACAACTCTCTCGGCCCCACCTCCCTCCCTGTCTGTTGTGGGGAGGATAAGGGGAAAGAGATTGTAAGCCACTCTGAGACTCCAAGTGAAGGGCGGGGTATAAATCCAATCTCATCTTCGTCGTCTTCATCTTCCCCTGTACATGAGTTTTGTCTTAGAGGGTGCTTATTCATTCCAGGAGTGAGTGGTGCCATTATCGAAGTTTAAATAGATAGGGGATTAGAACCTAGCTTCCTTGATTTTCAGAGAACTTCCTGACCACAGAGATAGAAAAGGAGTGTGTTGGGTTGGTTCATTGGGTCAGTTCTAGTTTGGCCTGTGTCACATCCATGGTAGTTCTACGTGATAGGTACATTAAGAAGCAGATCAAGTAGAATCCTCATTTACCTTTGCATGACTCATAAGTCGTTTGGTTTTAAACATCTTGTAATTATTTTGATATAATGGACTGTTAAACTTTTCTTCTTTTAACATTTTAACGATTTTAAGGTTATATGTTTATTTTTAGAGCTGAAAGCTAATTTGCTTGTATTTAACGAACATGTATTATTTTGATAAATGGTCTTTGACCGCAAATAAACATCAGTCATTCATTTACTTCCTGACCACAGAGATAGAAAAGGAGGGCTTAGGGTCGATTCATTGGGTCAGTTCTAGTTTGGCCTGAGTCACATCCATGGTAGTCCTACGTGATAGGTACATTAGCAGCTATAGGTCCAAGAAAGATACATACCTCTGGTTTACTAATGGTCAGGGCTGCTCATCAGTGCCAAGGGGCCTTGATGCCATAGCTGGAATATATTCCTTATTTGTCTGGGTGTACACTGTACATTGAATTCTAAGGACTGAATTAAGAATTATGAGTCAGTTTTGTTGAGTTTTGTTTTTTGTTTTTAATAACTGCCTCTCTTTCTGGACGCAGTTGGGATCCCTGCCGGTTTCACTCCCTCCCCAGTGATCCATGGAAAGGTTCCTGCGCTCCTCATTTCCCCTACATCAGAGCAGGCCTGTGAGTCCTGCACTAAATATACGCTGGTGATTCTGAGCCTTCCGAAACAGGCAAACGTCATTCGGCGCTCCAGGGAGGGAGCGGGATCGGTAATAGCTTTGGACAGTCTCTCGGGTTAAATGTCTCAGGGACTTGACGTGCGGAGAGACGGAGAAGACTCCTATGCTTCCAGAGAGCCTGCCCCTGGGGCGTCTTCCCTGGCTGGCGTTTAGTAGAGAACTCTCAAAGTACATTTGTCATCTTAAATCCCACCTTCTAATACGATCTGTTTGAGTTGGATCTCAAGAGAAACATCGGGTTAGATCCAGTACCCACGGTTCTACTTGTGGAGCCAAATTTCCTCACCGCCTTTCTTGCTATAACAGGCTGTTTACCCAGAATTTCTCTTTTTTGGGGGGGGGGATAGCTCACTCTTAGGAACAGTGGGGGAGGGGGCTGGATCTGGACAGTGCATGTGTGTGGGGGGAAATAAGGAGAAATCTCTTGTGAACAGAAGCCTCCTGTGCGTGTGGGTTTGAATTACAAACACACTTCAATAATTTAATAGCTGTTTTTTCCCCTCAACCATCTGGGGTATGATATTACACTAGAATCTCTACTTTCTGTTTCTCCTTGTGCCAGAACTGTGACAGGTTTAATCTGAGAGACTGCCCGAGGCCGAATACGATCTGTTTCCTCGCTAGGACGCTTTCAGCTCTACCCTGTTCAGGGCCAAACTATATGCCCACGGGGACTTGCAGCTGCAAATTAGCAGGGGGGCCGGTTCAGATCGGGACAGCGGCATGTGAGGGAAGGGCTCCTGCCTTCCCTCTGCCCTGGTTTTATGAGCTGAAAGGGGTCTCCCCCAAGAGGGCAAATAACACCCTTCCTCTGATCCTGTGTTCTTTGTAAATGCTGTGATGCTTGTCCCCCGCTTAGATCCTACTACTTTTTTTTAAACTAGGAAGTAACCGCCTTTCACCGAGGATTCCTCTTCATTCTCTGATGTTGCATAGGAGAGGGAAAAGACCGCAGTGCAGCAGCAGGGAAGCAGCTGTCTTCTCGGTTTCAAAACCGAGTGAGTGAATTACTCCCAGGGCTAAATGTCTTCGCATGCAAGCGAGCCGGGCAAGCCTTTCGGTTGAGCTAAAATGATGACGTCTACGTTTTTGGCAGTCAGAAGAGGTCCCTTATCAGCTGTGTGATTTTTGTCTCTTAATAAGAATTAAACATAGAAACTCGGGGTACAGCAACAGAGTACAGTAAATACAAAATAAATTGCTGAACAAGTTCACAAGAATAAATGTACTGAAATGTGTAATTTTTGAGCTGTGTGAGCCATTCTGAACGTTGGAATACCCTTGTGGTGAATTTAAATTGTGAAGAGTTCATTGAAAACTGAAGTCTGATAAAGATCATTCTCGAAACGAACGCAGATACACTCGAGAAGTGTTCATCCTTTGTTCCTGTGATGTACACCTGTTGGCACCTGTTGAAAACCATTATGAAAAACAAGTATTAAATAACATCATGGAACTTTGAATAATTTTCAGCACATTTATTCTTGTGAACTTGTTCAGCAATTTATTTTGTATTTACTGATTTTTGTCTCTTGCCAGCCCTTCCCTTAACCCCGGGCAGAACCCGAGAATCCCGGGTGCGAGTTCCTCTCCACCCAGTTTAAGCTCCTGAGCTGGGGATTCATGCTTTGCTTTCCTGGCCAGGTTCTTTCGTTCCTGATGTCCCACCGACCGTCTTGGACTTGCTGTTCCTCGCCCGGCCCTTTCCCATCTGTCCTCACGACAGGGTTCCTTTTGTCTTCCCGCCCCCAGGACGCAACATGTCGACAACCGGAGGCAAGGTCTACCTGGTGACGGGCGGTTGTGGGTTTCTGGGGAAACGCCTGGTCCGGATGCTTCTGGAGAAGGAGCCCGACCTTGCCGAAGTGCGCGTCTTCGACTTGCACCTGGATGAAAGCATGCATCAGCTGGACAGAGGTAAGAGGTTTGCATCCAGTGTTGCACACCCGGGGATCCTTCGGCCAGCTGCGTGGGAATACCTGGCACTTGGCTGTCCTGAACGAAGGAATGTGGGACCTGCAGAAGTATCCAGGCCCTGCCAGAAGGATCCTGTGGGAAGGAAACGGAAGGGGTTGCGGTTGGGACATTGGGTCCCATCTTGTCCCCACTCTGCAGCCCTAGATGCTGATCGCTGCCAGCTGCCAGAGGATCCCCATGTGCTGCTGTTCCCTCTGCCCACATCAAGTGCTCAAGGACCATGGCGACATCATTAGTGAGATCACCCATGAGGCTGCATTGTACTGAATCAGGCCCTTAGGGAATGCTCCCTCTAAGCTGTGGAGTCTTGTGAGCAAAAATTCTTGGAGTCTTGTGAGCCAGTTTGGTGTTGTGGTTAAGTGTGCGGACTCTAATCTAGGAGAACCGGGTTTGATTCCCCACTCCTCCACTTGCACCTGCTGATGTGACCTTGGGTCAGTCACAAGCTCTGGCACAGCTGTCCTTGAAAAAGAGCAGTTTCTGTCAGAGCTCTCTCAGCCCCACCGTGGGGAGGGGAAGGGAAAGGGGTTTGTAAGCCAGTCAGAGACACCTTTGGGTAGTGAAGGGCGGGGTATAAATCCAATCTCTTCTTCTTCTACTTTGCGAGCTACTGGCATGAAAGTTGTGCGCGAGCCATTTGGCCACTGCATAAATCAGCTTGCTCTGGAGCCCTCTTTCCTGAGCGAGGACAAAAATGTGTGGGGCAGAGGCTAAAAGGCTGTGAGCTAGCTCACACTTACTCAGCTTAGGGGGAACACGGAGGTCCATCCAGTATTGGTATTGTCTGCTCTGACTGGAAGCAGCTCCCTGGGGGGTCTCAGGCAGAGGTCTTTGACACCACTGGATGCTTCTAGCTGGGGTTGCCAGGGATTGAACCTGGGACCTTCCGCATGCTGAGCAGAGGCTCTTCCACTGAGCCACAGCCCCTTTCTCCAGAGTAGACCACTGGTCCATCAAGGTGAGTATTGTCTACTCTAACTAGCACCGGCTCCCCGGGGTCTCAGGCGGAGGCCTTTGACATCACCTGATCCTTTTGTGGCTGGGGTGTCTGGAGATGGAACCTGGGAGGGACCTCCAGCATACCAAGCAGATGCTCTACTACTGATCCACAGTCCATTCCTCCTCCCCCCCACCCCCCGCATTACTCTAAAACGGGATGTAAAATAACAAAGAGCTAATATTCCTACATCCTTACAGCTAGACAGAACATGGCAGAAGAGAGCGAAGACTAACTTCTTCTTGCTCAGGACAAAGAACCATAAAATGCTAATACTTGGCACTTTGGTCTCCAATCAGAACAACAAACTAGATCTGACGTGACAGGGCTTTCTAACTCTCTAAACTGATTGGTTACAAACAAACATGTGATTTAACAAACATCATTAACCCAGTAAATACTGAAGAAGTGTTTTAACTTGTAACACCCAACACCCTCCTGCACTGTTTTCCTCACCTGAAGCACCACCCGGGAAGTGGTATTTGCTCCATTGGGAAAACCTGTCCATTTCTCTCGTAGGGCAAAGAAGTCTGCCCCTGGGTCCGTTTGGCAAATGGTCCCCTCTCCAGGTTGTTTCAGTGCTGGGGGAGGAGGACCGAGGTCTCCTCTCCCTCCATGCCCTGGTCCTGAATCATCCACCTCGTACAGGAAGCTCAGGTGGACGCAGAATTGTCTTCCAGCCAGTCAGACGCTAGTGGGCGAATGCAGGCATGGCCTATGTTCACCGTAACGTCTGCGTCAGCCCTCAAGTACGCTTGCATCTGAGATACACCCAGCCTGTGCAGTCACAGATGGTGGCTTTAAATTTCAGAAGATGTTGATGCTTCCCTAAAAGCCACATTCTTTGATCAGGGAAGTGTCTCCGTCGTGAAATGGTAAATCGCCACCCCCAGAGGCCGTGTGGCATCATTCCTTGTAGACATGCAGCAGCAGCTGATGGGGCTGGAAGGTGTAGGTGGCCGCAAATTCTGTAGCACAGCGATGGCGAACCTTTTAGAGATAGAGTGCCCAAACTGCGACCCAAAACCCACTTATTTGTCGCATGTACGATAACTCAAAGAGAAAAAAATACCCTCTTCTCTCTCCCTCCAAAAAACCCCGTGGAATATGGTGAGCAGGTGTGTCTGTCAACACAAGGAGAGGAGGGTAATTTAAGTAACTTAAGATGATCCAAACAAAGTGAGGAAAGCAATCCCAAATGCTTTCATTTACTTGAAATTATTTGGCAGAGAGAATTCGACACTGGAATGATGGTCTGGGCCTGGCTGGGGCGATGGCATGCGTGCCCACAGAGAGAGCTCTGAGTGCCACCTCTGGCACCCGTGCCATAGGTTCGCCACCACTGCTGTAGCAGATCCCTGCTGTAAATCTCAAGCAAAATAAGAGCGAAGTCCAGTGGCACCTTAAAGGACTTCCCAACCCGTTTATTCCGGGTACTCATTATGTTTGACTACGTCATGGACGCAGCCTGGCTTTTTTCGATTAATCTGAGCCACTTGGTTGAGGGGAGGACTGGGGGGTCCAGGGGGAAGCCGGCACGAGCCGCTTGCCTTGTTTTGTTTTCGCAGTCCAGCGAGGAGCCCCCGCTTCCCAAGGGAGTAGCAGGTCAAGAGTTTCCTGGCTTTCGTCAACAGCCGCCTCCCTTTCGGTTTCTCTTTGGAGCCAGAGCCGTAATGAGTGGCGCGTGTGCGTGTCTGATGGGCGTTGTGCATGTCTGATGGGTTTTCATCTGGAGGACTTGGAAGCGTGTTTTGGGAGACGGCAGCAGCATCTGCTTGTTTTGAACAGCCTGACATTTTGAAATGTCTCAAAAGGCTACTGCTGGAAAACTGGAGGCCTCCAGGGGGCCAGGAGAGAGAGATTGAGAGATTGCTCAGGAATTCAAGCTGCCTCACACACTAGGAAAGGTCCCGCTGAACTCCTGCTTTGGAGATTAACATTTCATTCCAGAGTGAACTGGAATATTGACTAGACATTGTTTGAACACAGGGACACATGGCGCTCCCTCATACTGAGTCAGAATCGAGAGCCAAAAGGTTAAGGAAACCAGAATACCAGGGTCCCCGATAGTTCTGCCTCTAAACCTGAAGCATAAAGATTACCAAATGTATGAAAATATACATGTATTTATTACATGTTCAATAAAAGCAAATATAGGCCCAAGTAATAGCCTCGCTTCAGAATAAAATCATACATTAATCCTAAAGATAAGACCATCATTGACGCTGACCAAACGCGTTCCAGCCAATTGGCCTTCCTCGGTGGGCGAACAATGGTGTTACAGAATGGCTCCAGGCATTACAATAATGCAGTCGTTTCTTAGACCAAGGTGAACTGAGGCAGAGATTTAAATCAGAGGCCTCATTTTAGATAACTTGGTGCCATGGTCAGGTACACTTCCCTTGAATAATGGTTCAATTGTGTACCTTTCTTTCCTGGTCAGAGCTTTTTTTTTAGATGCAGTCAGGAGCCAGTTGGCCTGAAACAGGCCTTTCTTTGTAAAATCTCCCTCCTCTGCCCCTTTCTGCACTCGGCAACTTTGAGTATATATATATATATATTGTTGGCTCGTGCGTCTGCTGAAGAGAGCCCCGATTCATGAAAACTTAACGCTGGAGTCAATTATGCTGGTCTACAGAGTTCCATTGGGTTCCTGTTCTGTTTGGCCGACACAGATTGAAATTGGAATTGCCTGCCAGTATGACCCAGGCGAAAATGGGGATATTTGTGTAACGTTCCTATTCTCATTCAAAGGGCTATTGCCTTAACCCTCCCCTTTGTTGTTGGGTGTGTGTGTGACTTTTCTCCCTTTGTTGCATTTACTCTGCAACAGCTGGTCCTGCACTGTGACAAAAGGTGTTTCCTTTTTCCCCCTTTAACCTTTTAAAGAAACTTCCCCGGCGATTGGTTTAAAATGGGCCCCTGCAACGTGAGAAACGCCCGGCTGAGCATTAAAAATCCACACACTGCGTCTGAGACTGGTTGAATCCCCCTTTCCGGTCAGAGATTTGGCCCTTGGAGGGCTTGGAGAGGGAGTCAGACCCTGAAGAATGCCAGGACTAGCCGTTCTGTTCGTATTGATTTTTCCAGCAAGGTATTCTCCAAAGGCATGACAAGGGACAGGGTCGTCTCCTGGAATGCCGAATGGAAGAAGCCCCTTTAAAGAGGGGGCGTCTGTGTGTGAAGTGCCGTCATGTCGCAGCCAACTCATGGTGACTCCCCTCCCCCCCATGGGACTCTCAAGGCAAGAGCTGTTCAGAGGTGGTTTTGCCATTGCTTGCCTCTGCACAGCAACCCTGGACTTCCTGGGCGGTCTCCCATCCAAGCACTAACCAGGGCTGACCCTGCTTAGCTTCCGACACCTGACGAGAGAGTGGCTACTCTGGGCCTTCCAGGTCAGGGAGAGAGGGGCTGCTGCGTCATCAGTGTCCAGAAAGGGCAGGGGGGGCTGGCCCACCTCTTCCAACTAACCGGAACCAAAGGACTTTGCCGAGACCAGGCTCAGCCCTCCCCGGCACAAATCTGGTGCAGCTTTGGCAAGCCCGGGCCTGGGAGCAGCACCAGCCTGCCGAGAGCTTCCCCCACCCCCCAAGGAAGTAAGCCAGCAGGTGGGAGTCCACTGAGCCTGTGTGGATCCGGGGACAAGCTTTGGAAGGCTGGGAGCAGCCCAGTGACTGTATTGTTGGCTGTTCCCAGTCTGAAGCGACTGCGGCAAGGCAGATGCATCTCTGTCAGTCTGCAGAAGGTCAAGGGGCTGTGGGTTAGTCGGAGAGCATCTGCTCAGCATGCAGAAGGTCCCAGGTTCGATTTCCAGCCTCCCCAGTTGAAAGGACCAGACGGGAAGCGATGTGAAAGACCTCCACCAGAAACCCCGGAGAGCCTCAGGACTCCTTGAATAGACAGTACTGACTTCGGTGGACCGATGATCTGATTCGCCATCAGG